ATAAAATATAGTACTATACTGCGAATTACTTTAACGGCTAAATTTCCGTTAAAGTAATTCGCAGTATAATACTGCGAAATGCCTATTTATGTATTTTTTTTTTAGCATTAAAAAGGTGCTTTTTATCCAAAAAATCATCAAAAAAATTTCCGACTCTTAAAATTAGTAAGCATGTCTACACAAAGATGAGCTCAATTATGGCTGACGAGTGCAAAATAATAGTAGATCCCTTCTGGATCTTGTGTGCTATATTACCTTACTTGTTTATTATTTTAAAAATATATTTTACTTTTACTTGTTAATTTTAACAAATTAATAGAAAGACAATATTTTTCTTGCTTTATCATATTATTAATTATTTATTCTCTTAATTATTTCCTAAGGTCTTTTAAAATGCTATCATTATTATGCGTAAAATTATAAAATATATAATAATTTATTTTTTCTTAAAGAAAGTACAAAATTAAAGGTGGGCAACGGAGGGAGTACCATCTTATCTTAGATTCGCCCTGTTCAATACAGAAAAGCAAAAACTGCTACGACAATAATTTCTTTTATTTTGGTTTGCGAAATCGTGGCTATAATCTATAATTTCTCTATCAACTACTCCTCCTTATCCTTTTGCAGCGAATATCAGCTGATCCTGACATGTTTTGGTTTGCTGATTTATAGACTTATTTCGGCTTTAAGATTTAGTCTCAGACTAGATAAACAACTTGGAGTTTTGGATAACATTTCATGCATAAGTGGAGAGAGTATTATACTTTTTCTAAAGATAAAACTACTTTATTAACGTCACAAGCTTAGATAAGCAAAGCACACACGAAATTTGTCGAAACATATGCTTTCAAATTCTTTTTGAACAAATATTTTTTTTCCCTTCAAAATCAACCAAAATCTATTTTCAGTTTCAAGAAAACTCTATTGGAGTTATTGTTAAAATAACTTTTTTGCCCTAACAGTTTTTGGTTTTTCTGTTTGGCCATAAAATTTTTTAATTTTCACTTGAAGATGAATTTTACAATTTTTGAAAATTTGAAAAACTCCAAAAATAAAAAATTCAAAGTTTTTCACTTCATATCACTGACAAAAATTCAAAACAACCCAAAATTGTATTCATATCCGAACGAAACTCTAATTTTCAAATATCATTTTTACTTGATTTTTTTTTTATTTTTTTCCAAAATTTTACAATTTTATGTCCAATCGCCCGCTAAATCTTTTCCAATCCACACGACGCCTAGTTTGGAGTATAATTCAAGGAGTCTTATCTTAATCAACTCCTTCTGATTTGAAACTTTGATCATCATCAAACCACCCGCCAAAATCTTGAAAATGAAACTGTCCACCCGCCAATGTATATATTGACATTTGACATGCTTCGTGCTCAATGATAGATATGTTTTCAAGTGTTATACGTTTCTCCTTTTTATTTCCTTAATTTGCATCCGAATTCCATATTTCAAAATTCACATGTCATATAGTTTAAGAATATTGTTTTAGACCTGCCTATTTTATCAAAGGATAATTAATTGTCGGATTCTTAACCTACATTGAATGTAGTATAATACTATATCAAAATTTTAGTATAAAATTATATTTGCATTACTTGTACGCAGAATAAAAATTTAATCGAATGAAGGACAAAATAATACCAAATTTTAATCAAACGAGCCCTTAATATATCTCAACATTATGGTAAATATTAAATCATTTAGTTCAATTTCTCGCGATTTGGATTTTACTCATCTTTATCATTGTTCAGTGATATATAAAATTAATGTATAGATTCAATTAATTAATATAACTAAGTTATAGTGGTGTATAATGGTGGCAAAATGGATAAAAGAAAATAGTTATTCACCCATATTATCCATTAAAAAGGCAAAATACATAAGTTACCCCCTTAACTATGAGCCAAATCCCTCTTACACACTTTTTGAGCACGAAAATCATCTTACACACTCAACCTTTTCAGAGTGTGTCTAATACACACCTCTTTTTCCTTGACCAGTTTATAAAAATATGTGTAATGTCACGCACCAATAAGATCATGACATGTGTTATTATTTTTTTTTAAGAGAAAATATTTAAAATTACTCTTATACTCCCAATTTAAAAAATCCTCCAACACCTGCATCTTCTTTTGCCCTCCACCGTTGCAAACCCACCGGAAAAAAGTCTTAACCCCCACTTCTTAATATTCACACAAATTTAATTTTGCAATGATTCATCCATAACAAATCCTACGTTCTCCATTTTCCTCCTCCATATTCAGATCTCATACAACTCCTAAAAACTAAAATGGAAGAGATAAAAACAAAAATTGCAACTCCTATGTTCTCCATTTCCCGCCTGCATATTCAGATCTCATACACAACCAAATAGAGAAAATTAAAATCAGTTTTTTATTTTCATTAATTAAACAACTCTATTATGATAAAAAATCTCAAATCTTCCCTTATATAAAGGAAGCTGAGTTGGAAGTTTTAGAATTTCAGTCATTCTCATAAAATATAATTTTTTTTAGGTAAAGATCGAATGTCTTGGTGGATTTTAATGATGAAAAAAGATGCAAGAGAAGTTTAGAGGAGCAATTTTAAAGAAAATTTACAGCACCTTCTTTAAAATATTTATTAGAGTTTTGGTTGATTTTACTGTAGCAGAGACGATGGGAAGGGAAGACCGGAGAAGGGGGGGGGGGGGGGGGTGTCCTGATAGTTTGGGAAGGACGTGAGACAAAAGAGAAGTTTGGCAGCTTTTTTCATTTGATAAAAATGAAAAATAAGGAAAATATTATTAATATGACACGTGGCATTAAAATATGAATTTAGACAAAATATTTACAATTTTACGCGCTCATCTTTTTATGTTAAGCACGCAAAAGCCACATAGCAAAACAGGTGTGCATCAGATACACTTTAAAAAGGTTGAGTGTGTAAGATGATTTTGGTGCTCAGAAAGTGTGCAATAGGGAATTGGTCCATAGTTCAGAGGGTAACTTATGTATTTTGCCATTAAAAAATGGGTTGGATAATGAACTTTTTAAAAACTGGTCAAATATGGATAAGAATCATATTATACACCTAGAAAATGGATAAGTAGTGGGTTTAACTTTTGAATATGTAAAGCCTCAAATTAGGAGTTCCTCAAGTTTGGGAAACTAGGAATTATTCTCCCAAAGGTAATCATATTCAAGAAGCCATGGATAATATTCCATATTATCCACCGGTTAATCTGTTTTTTATTCGTATTAAATATGGACCGGGTCGGATACAGGGGCGGATTTAGGGGGGCGGAAGGGGATTCACCCAAACTCCCTTCGCCGAAAAATTACACTGTTTATGTAAGGCAAAATCTATTTTTTACCTCTATATATTAAGTTTTGAACCACCTTAACACAAACCAAAAGTGTAATTTAGTGGTCAAGGGGTTTCAAAACCTTTATAAGTTCATAGGCTCAATAATTTATTTGTTTTTACATTACCACTGGTCTATATAAAGTACATGTCATATAATTGGTGTAATCGTCCGATAAAGGTAAGCATTTTCACTTGATTGGAATAGTAGTTTTCTTCAAAATAGCGCTTTGATCACCCTGCTCCCAAACCAACAACATCAAAAAGAGCGAAAAGAATTTTTCTATAGAGCCCGTTAGGATATAAAAAAATCTCACTTTTTTTCGAAAATTAAGAGCCTGCTTGGACATAAAAATATCTTACTTTTTTCCAAAATCAATGTTTGGCCATAAAATTTCCAATTTCACTTGAAAATGAATTTTGAAATTTTTCGAAAATTTGAAAAATTTCAAAAAGCTATTTTTTAAAATTTTCACTCAAATCACTCGCAGAACATAAAAAACAACCCAAAATAATATTTATGCCCAAAAATAACTTTAATTTTCAATTACTATTTTTACTTGAAATTCTTTTTTACTTTAAAATTTTACAATTTTTATGTCCAAACGCCCACTAAGCAGGCGTTCCGGAAAAAGAGTACATTTTATGAGTTCTTCTAGATGGTTGGCCGAATATTCAGTCGGTCTACTATAACATCAACAACAATAATTATTATGTCTCAGTTTCAAACATGTAGCCTACTCAGCTTACTTGGATTTTGGAGCCGATATTACTACAAATTGCAGCTCATATTTGTGAGATTTTTGTACGAGGCAATATTATTCAATTTGATCAGGAAAGCAATTTCTTCCAGGATTATTTCTCCTTAACCGTTATTTATGAGAACAAACAAAAACAGTAACTTAAATTGTAGATAAACGGTTGGACTAGAGTTATTATCACGGTTGCTTTCCTTACTAGTCATTTAAAGATGTGTAGACCAACTGAATATTCGGCAATGTCAAGTCTAAAGATGAAAATAGAATACTCCGCCCGCCCGTTCAAATTTAGATGATTTAGTTTGACTTGTCACAAAGTTTAAAAAAACAAAAAGAATACTTTTAAAACATGTGACCCAAAAAGCTTAAGGGGCAAAAGCTTTGTGGGATCATGTCATTTTGTAGCTATAAAAAACTTCTCATTGAGGATAAATAGGGTAAAATAAAAAGTTTAAATTTAAAAAATTTCCAAATATAGAAATGTGTTTCTTTTTTAAACGAACTAATAAAAAAAATATGTCAATCTAAATTAAAATAGAGGGAGTACTTTTTTGCGTTACAGGTCTATGGCAAATAGTAAAACTTTGTATCAGTTGTAACTAGGCATGCTATGTCTGGAACATGAATTTACTGTTTGGACTGTTGGATCAGCTGAAAGGAAAAAAAGAAGAAGATAACTCTAAATATTCTCCCCAATTATCAAAGATAACTCTTCTGTTGAGCTTAGCGTCTCCCGAAAACAACCTTTCTACCCTCCCGAAATAAGAGTAAAGTCTGCGTACACTCTACCTTCCTCAGATCCCACCAGTAGGATTTCAATGGGTGTGGTGTTGTTGTTGTAATTAGCAAAGCTCAGCACTCAGCAGTTTCATGATGAACTTGAATGACATCATTGAAGGAAAAGAAAAAGAATACAAGAGTTGAAATTGGCTTGTAAATCTTTGTAATTCACTTTCTGAACTTTGATTCTACACAACTTTAGTTAAAGAAATCTTCAATTACATAGAAATCAACTTGTAAATCATGTATTTACTTGCTACCCCGTTGTACACACCTTAAGCCCAAGAAGTCACACTAAATCACATTGCAGAATGAATAACAACACTCAAATTGCATTGGCAAATTCCAGCCTCAAAACAAGAAAATCTTGGCTTGTAGCTATGTGTTTTTTTTCATGATGAACAACAACAACAAGAAGAAGCCCAACAACAAGCCCAGTAATTTCCCATAAGTGGGGTCTGGGGAGGGTAAGAGCCTTACCCCTATCTTGGAAGGGCAGAGAGGCCGTCTCCGATAGACCCTCGCCTCGGCTGGAGAACAGATGTTTTTTTTTATGATGAAGCATCACCATTTGCTCTGGACTGAGACTCAGCATCCACTGTTTTACCTTGTTCTCTAAACTTCTTATAAATATCCCCTTTATAAAAGTTGAATGTTCTGAGCACCAAAACCAAAGAAACAATAAACCCCACAAAAGTAGATGCTGCAATTATCAAAAAAGCCAACTTATAACACTCAACTCCAGTGCAAGTCAAGTCTTCCCCTGGCTTCCTAATAATTCCATGAGCTGCCATCTGCTTAATAGCCTCTTTATCATACAAATTCCCAGCCACTTTAACATTGAATATATAAGCTCCAATTGGACTAGCAGCACCACCAAAATTGAGCAATGTTGAGTAATGTTTAAGTCCAAAGATTTCAGATATGATTGCAAATATCAAAGGCCAGAGAGCACCAAAACAGAACCCCATTAGCACGGACGCGACATACAGAGTATTCGTTACACCAAACGCGATTAAAACATGGCCAACACAAGAGAGAAGCAGAACCAATGTGAGCATCAATGGACGCGGAAACTTGTACTTTTCCAAGAAAATCTCAGAGGCGAATCCAGAAGCTACTCGCCCGAGATAACCCCATATACTCACAAGTGACACAAATGTAGTGATGCTTGTTTTAGGATAACCTAAGGCCTTACCAATTTGGCCTAAATTATCCATAGCTGTTAAAAGTCCCCCTGCTCCAAATATTGTAGCAACGAACAAAATCAACATATCTATACTGAGAACTGCTTGTAGTATAGTATAATCCTCACCTCTTTCCGGCGGCTTAAACACGTTCGAAAAGAAAGAAACTTGATCTGTTTGATAATTAGTTGGAACAACAGTTGCTGAAGATTGAAGTGGTGTCTCAATTCCTACAACTTTGACTTGTATAGGGTGACTTGGATTTTGTTTCTTTGCATCCCATAGTTTCAATTCCTCTCTTATAACAAGAACTATAGGAGCAAATAACAAAACAAGAATAATACCCGCAGTTGTCCAATAACCAACACTATTAAACTCAACCCTATTTTGGACGATAATTATAACCATAAGAAAACCAGCTAAACCAAGTGACATAAACAAAAGCTGGTAAAAAATCTTGAGCTCATTTTCTTGTCTAGTAACTTTCATAACCCTAATAACTCTAAGAAAAATACAGGAAACAACAGCAGGAAGCCAAGCAATAAGTAAGATTAAAGATTTCCCATTATTCCCATAAAAAGCATGATATAATTGTGTAAGTATCGCACCACTTAAACCAACAAACCCCTTTAAAAGTCCAATAACAATTCCCCTACTTTCAGGGAAATTCTTGACACAAGTAACTAAAACACCAGTATTTGCAAAAGTCTGAGAATTTGCACCTATAAATATACAAAAACACATCTGCCAAACTTTTGGTTTAGCTAATTTCCCAGTAGTTGCTAACCATACAGAAAAATACCCTGAAAAATTCATAAATGCACCAAGAAGTAGAACAACCCAAGGTGGGGTTACTTCATTAATTAGACCAGAAATAATTCCAACGTTTGCACCTAAGTCTTTGAAAAAACCAAGTAAGTTTAAGGTTGTTTGATCATAACCTAATGATGTCTTCACTTCTTCAGAATAGAGTCCAAATATGTATGTACCGCCTGCTACCGACAAGATCAAAAGTGAAGCAAATACCATAAACCATCGCCCAACAAGCATGTGCATACCAAAATTTTCCATGGTTTTTCACACAACAATGGCCGCTCTAGATTTTTTTTTCTTTTTTTCCAGTGGACTAATTATAAGATATTGTGTTGAAAGTATAGAGAAATAACAAGATCTTGTATCTAGACTAAAGCATGTATAGATTCTTTTAGGTTAACTAAATAGGAGGTTTGGATGTGAGAATTTAAGAGATTAGGAGTACTACATAATTTGGATTCTCTTTCCTTATCCTAATCATTCTTTATATTATGAGGCCTAATCTTTCTTTATATATGTTCACCGTTTAAGTCTTTTTTTTTTCTTCTTTCTTTCTTTTTCCCTATCTTTTCACGTATTATAATTAGCTTTTTCAACTGTATTTTATGACTTGAGTGGATGGTGGGCCTTCTAGCCTTTTGGATAGAATTCACGTGTGATAAATTATTGGTCTGCAAAGTTATGATCTAATCTGATTTAGCAACTAATACTTACTTAAGTTGTTAATGCGAGTGATTGTTTAGATTAAGGCTTCCAACTTTACTGGTGAGTGTTTTATAAAATAGAATTCTCTTAATTTATTCCGAGTCTTTGTCAACCGAATTAAAATAGGAATTTTTACATCCTATAAAAAACCTTAGTACCCTATTTATTTTAAATAAATACCATTTTAAAATATTACATCCTATAGAAACCTTTTATACTTTATAGCCAAATATCTAATTATAGTTGCATCCTACATTTAAGGCACCATATATGTTAAATAATATTTTTCTCTCTCCTTTTTAGTCTTTTCGCTCACATAATCACCGTAAAATTGACTAACCACGTTCTCTCTCTCTTTTTGCATACACTTTACTCTTTCTCCCTCAACCCACGATTCATACCTCTTCTCCCACCCATATTCTCTAGTTCTCCTCCATTATCACTCCATTACAATCGCTTAGGGTAAGTTTAATTCGTTGATTTTGATAGACGAAGAGCAATTGGTTCAACTGTAGCGGCTCGATTCTGCATGGCAGTGGTCGTCGAAGTAGGGTTCACAGCTTTTGCGTAATTCATGGCTTCGTTTGTGGGATTTGAGGGCTGGGGATTGTTTGTAGTTGTTGTAGGAGGTTGGGCAGATGTGTTAGGGGGATGACCAGCCGGAATTAATGGCTGGCCGCCGGCCGGCGAAGCCATAAGGCTGTTTCTCTCTCTAGATCGCCCAAATCGCCTATTTGTATTCAATTGTATTCGAATGTATATTTCAGCTGTATTCACATGTATTCAGCAGCATTCATTTATATATTTTAGATGTGTTAAAAGTTATGCGTATTCTCTTGTATTCAGTTTTAATCAGTTGTATTTAACTATTTTATTCAGCAGTAGTTAGTTGTATTCAAGTGTTTTATACAACTGTATTCAGTTGTAGTTAGTTATATTCAACTATTTTATTCAGCAGAAGTTAGTTGTATTTTGTTGCATTCAAGAGTTTTATTCAGCTGTATTCAGTTGTATTTTGTTGTATTCAACTGTATACAGTTCTACTCAACTGTATTATTCATATGTATTTCTCTTTATTCAGCTATAATCTTTATTATGTATCTTTCAAATACAGATTAATGAGGGATCGTTTTAGTTCGTTGAGTTAATTTAGGAGAATATCATGTGATTTGATTTCCTTCCGTTTTTAACCAGTTTAACCTTCCAGATTTTGTGCAGATACGTTACTGTATTTAACGTTAATGCCGCTTGAATACAGCTAAATACATGTCAAACTTAGCTGGATTTCCACTTTTTACGCCTATTTTTTTGGTTGTATCAAAGAATACAACAGCTTAAATACATGAAATACATTGTATAAAAACACAAAAGGTATCTATAACACGTAATTTAGCAAAGGGTATCTATAAATGGCTAATTAGACCTAAAAGATGGTGCTTTATGAAAAATTCTCATTAAAATATCTACAAACTTAGTGATTGTAATTAGGGGTGGCAATTTGAGCCCAAACCCATCTAATCCGCCCAACCCGTCCAAAAATTAATGGGTTGGGTTACAAATATTTTAGCTCATGGGTCAATTTGGGATGAGCCCAAGTTAACCCATTATATTTATAACCCATTCTAACCCATTTAGCAGCCCAAATACAACCTATAAAACTCACCCAAAACAAAAGGTATCTCAACCCAATTTATATAGTAGAAATTTATTTAGTTGCCCCAATTTTTTTTGTTGGTATTTTCAATTTTATGTTCTTTTGTTTTTCTGCACCATCCACCCACTCTCCCCACCCCCCTCCCCAGCAAAACCTCCCTCCCCTAAAAAAAATTTTTTACGTTTTGTTTTTTTATTTTAAATTTTCTGTTTTTTTTCCTGCACCACCAACCCCTACCCCCCCCCCCCCCTCAAAAAAGAAATTTTTACTTTTTTTTTTGTATTTTTAATTTTCTATTTTTTCGTTTTTCTGCACCACCCACTCACCCTCCCCCCACTCCACCCCTACCATCACCCCAAATTTTTTTTTCAACTTGCACATTTTTAGGTAAAAGGTTTTTTTTCTTATGCAAGATGAGCATGATTCTAAAACTTGGGTCAAGCTGGGCGGGTTGGGTTATGACCCATAGTTTAGCTCATCTTGACCCAGCCCATCTTAGCCCAAGTACACTTTGGGCTGGGTTGGGCAATGACCCATTTATTGACCTAACCCATCTTGACCCGCCCAAATTCAGCTCAACACACCCATTTGCAACCCTAGTTGTAATTTACTTTCACCCCCTCCCCAAACCCCCTTCACCCAATCTTTCCATTGTAGTGGAACTAACTTGAACTCATGGTCGGGAATAGTGGTGGCAAAATGAATTAAGAAAATAGTTATCCATTTATATTATCTACTAAAAAATGAGCTGGGGATAATGAACTTTTTAAAGATTGGTCAAATATGGATAAGATTCACATTATTCACTTAAAAAATAAATAACCAATGAGTTTAATTTTAACATTTGCAAAGATTCAAATTGGGGGTTCCTCAAGTTTGGGAGACTAAGAATTCTCCCGAAAATGATCCTATTCAAGAAATCATGGATAATATGAATATCCATATTATTAGCCAATTAACCCATTTCTATTCGTATTAAATACGGATCGAGCCAAATACTTTATTTATTTTATATTGATCGTTTTCAACACGTTCATATCCGATCCGACCTGCCTACTTATCATCCCTAGTGGGGATTATTAGTGATGATTGATTAAACGAAAATTGAAAAGGTCAGTTCTTGAAAATAGAGCTACATGCATGAATAATGGGAAGTTGGTGACAAAAATTACCGCAATGACGTGGTAACAATAGTTTGAGAATAGTCACGAGTGCACAAATACAAGCACATTAATTAATTAATTAATTAATATTTCCTCACTGACACCATAACGTATGTATAATGTGTCCTGTATCAGTCAACAATCCCATGAAATGTAAACCAAAGACGCCTTAAATGGCGTGCCAAGTGCTGGAGTGTAGTAACATACCAAAGGCGGTGCTTACTTTGTTGAGTGTCACACAAATGATGGCTAACATTACCACCACATATTGACAAAAACACAAAGAACAGAGATGAAATCGAGCTCGAATGAGCTCTAATGGCGGAAGAACGAGTAGCTCGAATGAGAGGGGAGAGATATCTGAGAAGCTTCGAGTAACACAATTTTGGAGAATGAAAAACTCAACTATCAGAGAATGTCCATACAGCCTTTATGTACATATGTCCCACTCACTTGACAGCTGGCAACAGCTGTGCATTAACTAACAGCAGCTAATTAACTAACAATCAGCTAAGCAACTAAATAACTGCCAACTAAGCTAATTAAGAGGGAAAAAGGATAAATACAATGTAATATGTAACTAATAGCTAATAATCTCAATACCCCCCTCAAGTTGGAGGGGAGGAATCCACTGCCAACTTGTTGAGCAGATGTGAATGTTTGATGCCAGTTAAGGACTTGGTGAAGATGTCTGCGAGCTGCTCATTGGTGGAAACATGGTGTAAAGAATCAAGCCCTCTTGCAACTTGGTTCTGACAAAGTGGCAATCAACTTCTATGTGTTTTGTGCGCTCATGAAACACTGGATTCCTGGCTATTTGTAAGGCTGCTTGGCTGTCACAAAATACTGGAATAGGAAGATTCACAGGTACAGTCAGCTCCTCGAGCAGTGTAACCAACCAAACTAGCTCACCCACAACCTGTCTAGCTGCTCGATATTCTGCTTCAGCTGAAGACAAAGAAATGGTGGACTGCTTCTTTGATTTCCAGCTGATGGGACTATTGCCAAGTAACACAATGTAACCACTGACTGATTTTCTAGTTTCAGGACATGCTGCCCAATCTGAGTCACAAAAAGCTTTTACTCCATAATCCTTGCTGTTAGAAAAGAAAATTCCCAGGCTTGGATCACCCTTTAGATACCTCAAGACATGGTAGGCAGCTTTCAGATGACTCTCTCTTGGTGATTGCATGTATTGACTAAGGTGCTGGACACTGAAGGATATATCAAGCCTTGTATTTGTCAAGAAATTTAGCTTACCTACTAATTTTCTGTAGTTGGAAGGATCAGCTAACAAAGGACTTTCATCCGCCTTTAGCTTTGTGGAGGGATCAAGAGGTGATGATAGGCTGGAATATTGGGTACATTCAAACTCTTTCAGTAAATCCATAGTGAATTTTCTTTGAGATATCAACACTCCATCTCCTTTATAAAGCACTTCCATTCCCAGGAAGTAATGTAGCCTCCCTAAGTCTTTTATCTTGAAAGTTTCATGCAGAAAACTTTTCAGAGAATCAATCTCTTCTTGATGGGTTCCTGTTACAATAATATCATCTACATATACAGCTACAAAAAACCACTAAAGATCCTTTCTTTTTGTGAAACAAGGAGTAATCTAATAGGGAGTGTGTGTATCCTTTGGAACATAAGGCTTCAGCTAACTTCTCATACCATTGCCTACTTGCTTGTTTGAGACCATATAGGGACTTGTTTAACTTGCATACTAAACCTGGTTTGTCAACTGCTAGGCCCTGAGGTATTTGCATGTACACTTCCTCATGGAGATCTCCATGAAGGAAGGCATTGTTGACATCTAACTGGAACATCTGCCAACCTTTCTTTACAGCAGTTCCTATTAGTGCTCTCACAGTTGTCATTTTCACAACAGGTGAGAATGTTTCTGTGTAATCTAACCCTGCTTTCTATGTGTACCCTTTTACTACTGGCCTAGCATTGAACCTCTCAATACTACCATCAGACTTGTATTTTATTTTATACACCCATTTACACCCTATTGCATTTTTACCAACTGGTAATGGCACTAGACTCCATGTATTATTGGCTATTAAGGCTTCAAACTCTTGATTCATGGCTGACTGCCATGCAGGGCTCACAACTGCCTCTTCAAAAGAAACAGGTTCACATTCATGTAAAATGTTTATTACCAATTGTTGACTATCAGAATTTAACATATTAAGAGAAATATAATGTGCATTAGGTATATAAGTGGTAAAAGAAAGAGAGGAATTACTGTCATTTGAGAGATCAGACTGTGGCAAGGGCTGATTCTGCAAGTCATGCAGTTTAGGAAGAGAATAGTTGTAGTCTTTTAGGTACGTGGGAATTTTGTGAGTTCTAGAAGGTCTAGTTTGTGTGTGGCCCAAAGAAGGTTCTTGTTGGTTTACAGGACTTGGACTATTTTCATTAGGTGGAAATCCTCGGTGCTCATTATTAGGTAACATATTTTCACTATGATTGGACTCTGTGGACTGTGTTCATTTAGAGCTGGATTGTGGTGACAACTGCCTATGTGAAGGTTCATGTGACACTAGATTATGATGTTGACTTGATGGAATTGAATCTGCTCCTCTGGGGGTAAAGAAATCTAAAGCCAAGTCTGTTTTCACTTGAGGAAATGAGGGAAAAACTTTGTTTGACTTAGAAAGCAAAGTGAAAGGAAAAACATCCACATGGAAAACTACATCTCTTGAAACATGGATCCTTTTTGTGACCAAATTTAACACTTTGTAGCCCTTTGTCCCAAAGGGGTACCCCACAAATACATGAGGCAGAGTTCTAGCTTCAAATGTGTCTCTATGAGTCTTAAGTGTAGTAGGGAAACACAGACACCCAAAACTCTTGAGATGTGAATAAGAGGGCTTTTTCTTGTAGAGTAGTTCAAAAGGGCATTTGCCTTTGAGATAAGATGAAGGCAGTCTATTTATTATGTAAGTGGAGGTAAGAATACATTCTTCCCAATACTGCAAGGGCAGCTTTGATTGATACAGTAGTGCCCTTGCTGTTTCCAGTAGGTACTTATGTTTTCTCTCTACCACCCCATTTTGTTGGGGTGTGTATGGACAGGTTCTTTGATGAATGACTCCCAAGGATTGAAAGAAGGAGGTAGTTTCCAAATTAATGAATTCACTCCCATTGTCTGTCCTTATGGTTTTGACAGAGGTGTTAAACTGGTTTTCACCATGGCAAAGAAAGCTTTTATAGTATGTAGGGTATTGCTCTTGCAACTCAACATATGAGTCCATGTACACCTGTTGTAGTCATCTACAAAGGTGATGAAATATTTGTGTCTATCATGGGTTGCAATATGATATGGCCCCCATAAATCAACATGTAGCATTTCAAAGATTTCAGTTGTGATGGTAGTTCTTTCAGGAAAAGGCAATCTACTTTGTCTGGCCATTGGGCATATAGGGCAAAGGAAGGGTTGAGTGGGTGCAAATTTAATTGGTATTTCATTAATCCCCTTCCTTGGCAAATGCATGTCCTAGTCTATTGTGCCACAAAAATTCAACCATGTTTGCATCAGATGTAGATGTAAAAGTAGAGATAGAAGCAGATGTATTTGACACAGGAATATTTTCTTTACTACTTGAAAATGAAGTATTAAGACTGGAGTGCTTATGTAAGTGAACACACTCCTTATTACAAGCATGATATGGGATAGGTAAACTAGATATAATGGAAGGAACAAGATGTGAATGAGAGTGTGCATTATTCTTATCTGGTACACTAGATGGAGTTTGAGTAGGAGTTAGAGTAGATGACACACTCTTGCAGAGTTCTGAAATGTGATAGTATAGGCCATCAGAAGCCTTACCAATCTCCAGAGGCCTCTTAAGTGAATGGGCCTGCAGAAGGATACATGAAAATTTGGTAAAGATAACAAAGTAATCAAACTGAATTGTCAAGCAATGGATAGATATTAGGTTGAATTTAAAACTAGGTACAAAAAGAACTCTTTTGAGGGTGAATTTAGGACTCAAAATTATATCACCTACTAGTGTTACCTTTACTTTATATCCATTAGGCAGTGTTACTAGAAAGGGATACACTAAGGTTTTGACATTAGTTAGAATGGATTTGTTGTATGTCATTTGATTTGTGGCCCCGGAATCTAGTATCCAAGAGTCAACATTTGGCTTAAAACATTCATATGAAGGAACACTAGAATCAGAAAAAGTAGAACAAGCTGAAATACTTGCAAAATTTACTGCTCCTGCCTTCATTTCAGAATTGTCTTCTGTGGTTCCAGTCTGAAAATTCTCCAAAATACTGATTAGCTGATTGTATTGTTCTTTAGTCAAGTTCTTCATCACTCGACCTTCTTCTTGAGTCTGTGGCCTTTCCCTATCTCTCATGCCTGTGACCCTGTTACCATAATCTCTAAAGACATTTGCAGCTACTCGCTTCCCCTTATTGAACTTAGGGTCTTGTGGTTAACCATGGAGTTTGTAGCATCTATCTTTGGTGTGCCCCGGCTTCTTACAATAATCACAAGCTGGTCGTGGCCTATTTGTAGGGTAATTTCCTCTGAAGCCATTACCTCCAGTCCCACTTGACTGGTTATAGTTTGAATAGGAACTGCCTCCAGATCCATTTCCCTGTTGACCATAAGTTGTTCTAAAATTGTTGCTTGCTGCCCTGTTCACGCTCAAGGCACTAGAGTCAATCATCAAATGATTGTTTGGATTCATCTCCCTTTGTTTCTCCTCCTGAATGAGAATTGCAAACGCTTGTGCTAAGGAAGGTAAGGGGTTCATCATTAGAATGCTTCCCCTAACTACAGTATAAGCTTCATTTAATCCCATCAAAAACTGAATCAACCTCCTGTCTTGTTCAGCCTTGTGCATGCTTGCCTTGGCACCACATGTGCAGTGGCATTTACATTGAGCATGGGCATTCAGGGTATTCAACTCTTTCCATAGCTTCTTCATCTTAGTGTAGTATCCAGTAATGTTAAGTGTTCCTTGACTCAAATCGTTGATTTCTTTCTGCAGCTGATATAGCTTCGCCCCATTAGTTTGATCATATCTGTCCTCTAACTCCTCCCATAGCTCTTTTGCATCATTCACATACTGTAAGCTATCTGCTAAATCCTTTGATAGAGAATTCAAAATCCACGAAGTCACTACATTGTCACATCTTTCCCATTGGTCAAATGTAGGATCCTTTGAGTCTGGTTTCCCACATTTGCCATTTATGAAACCTATTTTATTCTTTACAGAAAGAGCCCTAAGCACTCCATGCCTCCATGATCTGTACCCGGATCCATCAAAAATTACTGGTACAAGCATAGAACCTACGTTCTCAGATGGATGCATGTAAAGTGGATTGGTTGAATCGAGCAACGGATTGGTAGAATTCGAAGTGTTCTCTTCAATCACCATAACTTTTGGTCGAAGTGTGTGTACAGAAAAGCCTCAATTCCTGAAATTCAACACCGATTTCAACTTTAGGGTTAACTTTCGATCTTAATTGAAGCAGTAGTGAAAACAGATCTTCCCGGAACAAAGGAGAAAACAAAATTGAGCTAAGGATTAGACCGTGTGCTCTGATACCATGACAAAAACACAAAGAACAGAGATGAAATCGAGCTCGAATGAGCTCTAATGGCGGAAAAACGAGTAGCTCGAATGAGAGGGGAGAGATATCTGAGAAGCTTCGAGTAACACAATTTTGGAGAATGGAAAACTCAACTATCAGAGAATGTCCATACAGCCTTTATGTACATATGTCCCACTCACTTGACAGCTGGCAACAACTGTGCACTAACTAACAGCAGCTAATTAACTAACAATCAGCTAAGCAACTAAATAATTGCCAACTAAGCTAATTAAGAGAGAAAAAAGGATAAATACAATGTAATATGTAATAATAGCTAATAATCTCAATACATATATCGTAGTGAGTCGTTTGATCAGACAAAGAATTCACAAAATCACATACCAAAGATAATGGCCAAACCAAAACCACACGGAACACATGGGAAGATCTTGTGCAAAGGTTACTGATACGTGCGCTCAGAAGTTTTTGCCTAGATATTTTACTTATATTAAATTTTTTATTAAATATATAAAAATATTTAGCTCAAAATTAATTATTAATCTGATTATTATGTATATTAACTTGAGATCTTTATAGGAAATCATAAACTTAAAATTTTGAATTCGGCTCAGACCTTACATGGACAGGTTTAGTAAGGAAGAGAGGAGGCTATGAACCATCGGCTCGGAGGTGGCAAATAAGCAATCTTTACACGAATAGCCGATCATATTCATTGTTTATTATTTATAGCCATATACATAGTTTATACATAAATTATGCATATATTATACCTCTGTACGACTATTTTTAGTTTAAACGGCTGGGTGGGCGACTATTTGGGTTAATTCAATACTCTCTCCGTCTCATTTTACATGATGCATTTTAGTAAGTACGAAATTTAAAAGAACTTAAAATTTGTAATTTAAAATAAAACATAAATACACAGGTAACTATAAATAAGCTCATTCAGAATGATATTGACACTTTGACAGATTAAAAAGAAAAGTGCTCATATATAAATAGAAACAGAAAAAAATTGTGCTAGGTCATTAAAACAAATCAAGCCAATAAATATGTTATGATCGGATCTGGCTAAGTTTTATAGGGTTAAGATTAGATGAATCAGAATAGGTTTCTCTCAATTTTTGTTTACTTTACGAAAGGTAAAAAAAGTAAAGACTAATGAGTCTTCCTTAAATTATTTGTTTAAGTTGTTTAAATTTATAAAAAAAAAGATTTAAACATTAAATTTTAATTTTATTTGTTTGAGTTTGTACTACATTGTACCCATTAGCTTATATTTTATCCGTTTCCGTCCTTAAGTTTAATAAATCATTTCAAGTCCAACGCCTTTAATTAAGCCAATAATCTGATCATAATCTAACTCGATAAAACTGAACTGAGTTGATTCACAAGTCGATCTGTGTCAAATAAATATTATGCATTCATTTGCTTGGTATAAATATAAGGTGTAGTAGGTTTTTATCATCTATGTAACTTTTTTAAATGAACCCGCAATACCAAGTTGGTCCTCTTTAGAGATTAGTCTGCTCTGGGCTCCTAGAATAAGAGATTTGAGATTAGGGGCAGATCTAATGCAAAGATTGCAGGTTTACGTAAATTTAGTAATTTTGTTAAAACTATGTATTTATATTAAAAATTTATTAAATATATAAGAATTTCCAGCCTGAAATTCAATTCACTAGTTTAGATATTATTGTATTAACTAAAGATCGCGTTAAAGACCCATAAACTTAAAATTCTGTTGAGACTCTGAGCTTGGTTCCGGATTCTTAATCGTAATGGAACTTAGTCACGAGCAGCTAGAGAGCCGGCGACTGAAGAAAGAAAAAAACCCAATAAATGTTCATGTCCAAAATTGAAAAAATGTTGATCTTTCACATTATTGACAAGATGTTACGGTAAGGGCAATGATGCAAACAAGAATAGTCTCAGCTTGCGTGACATGTACTGACAACCTAAAGAGTTGTACCTAGCCGTTAGAAGTTAGTTATAGGCGGGTAAGTTGAAAGTTGTTAAGTGAACAGTTTAGTCCTATAGGTTTCTTATAGCAAGTTGGGTAAATTTTAATTAGGTCCATAGATTTAACTTAATTTGACACTTATAGTCCCTGTCAGAAGTAGTTATAGGTTTTTGTTTTGTAGTGAGTAGTGGAGCCTATATGTAATGCTCAATGAGCTGCAGATGGCTAATAATTGAAAACCCTTTTGTTTTACCCTAATTTCTCTTCTTAGCTTCTTTTTCTTTTTCTGTACTGTTACATTGTCGTCATCGACATCAGTGGTATCAGAGCATCTTCTGGGCTCTGTGAGAAACCATGGCTGGAGAATCTACTGAGGTCATGGAGATGTTACACAAGATGGCTGCAGATATGTCTAGCTTCACAGCCGTCAAGACCAGCTTGAAGCTTTTCAAGCGCAGACCTGCAAAAATCAGGAAGAAGTTGTCAACGACTTGAGAGAAATGCTTAATGAGGTTATACATGACAGCAGAAGACCTGAATGAGGCAAAGACATAGATCCACGAGGAGGTGAGTTGTATTCTCCTAGTGATTTTCCTCTCAGTATAGGAGAAATGGCAACTCCCAACTCTATGGGAGGAACTTGCTCAGTTTCTTCAAGTATTTCCCTCCCTAGCAGTACTCCGACTTCAAACCTTGCACCCCCTGCTCGAAATATTGTAGCGGGAGTAAATTGGACTTCCCCTGGACCTTCGAACCAAACTCAGCTGAATCCTAGCTTACAGAACCCCAACACAGTCATAAGAACACAGCCTGCTATGATGAGCACACAAGGACCCTCAGGTCCCTACTCTCCTCAACCCAGAAACCAGCCAGCTCCATCTCATCTTCCACCTGAAGCCCACAGAAATCATTATACCCAACCTTATCAGTATGCTAACACCCCTAATCGAGTTCAATACCCTTACAACCCCTATAATCAACCATCGCACTACCCTTTAGCCTACCAAGTACCCAACACTCATGTAACCCTACCTATATACCACCAAATTCCTTATGAACCAGTTCCTAATCTACATCAGAACACACCTAGAAACAACTCTTGCCAAGCTGCCCTTCATCCGCCAAATACTTCCCTACCAACACTCGAATTTACTAAGTATGCTAAGGTTGAGTTGCCAAGGTTCAATGGTGAGGACCTAAGGACATGTCTGTATAAAGTGGATCAATTCTTCTCTGAGGAGGTTGTTACTATACAACAGAAGCTGAAATTGGTGTCTATGCACTTTGAGGGTGATGCGCCACAGTGGCATTTTGGGTACATGAGAAGTAGAGGCCAAATGCCCTCCTTACATGGGATGAGTACATTTGGGCATTATGTGATAGCTTTGGTGCAGAATACACTGACCCCATGACTGAGATAATGAATGTTAAGCACACAGGAACTGTGAAGGAGTACCAGCAGGCCTTCAACAGTGTCATGACTAGGTTGGACATATCGACTGGACATGCCATTAGTATCTTCCTCAACAACCTTAAACCGGAATTGAGTAATGCTGTAAGAGTGGGGAACCCAAGCACCTTGCCTTAGGCTTACGACTTGGCTAGACTACAGGAAGCCAATTTTGCAGCCCAAAGCAAAGCTATTAGGCGTTTAAGATCAGGGTCTTCTATGAGTAGAGGATCAGGTGGACTTCATTCTACCAGCTGGCAAAAAGATGGCTCTTTAGGGTTCAGGAAACCCCCTGTTGCCAGAATGGATACCAACAGGAGGAGAAGGTTGACCCCTGCTGAGATGGATGAGAGAAGGCAAGAGGTTTATGCTTCTTTTGTGATGAGAAGTTTACTCCTGGCCATAAATGCAAGGCCAAAAGGCATATCTATTCATTAGAGCTGGGACCTATTGAGGAGGTAGAAGAGAAGGAATCAGATGGGGAAGAGGTCTTAGAAGCAGAGGAAGTCCATGAAGAAGTGGTAGAAGATGCAACTTAGAATTGTGCCATATCATTGCAAGCACTCAATGGCACACCAGGATACCAAACACTCAGACTTAAAGGGTTCACTGAGAAAAAACCCTTAGAGATCTTTATTGGTTGTGGATCTACCCACAACTTTATTAATGAAGATACAACAGAAAAGTTGGGTTGCAAAATCAGCAAGATTAAGCCACAGTTGGTACAAGTAGCTGATGGTAGAGAGGTCCCTACATAGAAAATATGTAAGGGATTTCAATTAGCTCATGCAAGGTGCAGTATTTCAAGGTGACTTCCTGGTCTTTCCTATTGGCAGCAGTGACATTGTGTTGGGTATTCAGTGGTTGTACCCATTGGAAGACATCAAGTTCAACTTCAAAAATCTGATAATGGAGTTTGAACATGAGGGCAAACTATTGACTTTGCAAGGGATTCAGCCTAAATTCAAGGCTGTTCAATCCAAAGCCTTGGAAAAGATTGACATGACTGAGTCAAGTTACTTTATGGTAAAGGTTAAAGGTGCCAAGGAAGAAGAATCAAGTGCCTCAGGATTGGGAGGTAGTCAAGAACCAAGGCCAATTACTGAGGTCCTGAAGCAATATGACCTAGTGTTTGGGGAACCAACTCAACTGCCCCCCTTTAGTGGTATGTTTGATCATCACATACCTTTATTAGAGGGTATCTCTCCAACCAATGCTAGGCCTTATAGATACTCCCCTGTACAGAAGGATGTCATAGAGAACTGGTGCAAGAAATGTTAGGACAAGGGATAATACCGCATAGTTCAAGCCCCTATGCCTCACTTGTAGTCTTAGTAGGAAAGAAGGATGGGACATGGAGGATGTGTGTAGACTATAGAGCTTTGAACAAAATGACTGTCAAGGACAAG